CAAGGTCACCTTCTGCTACATAGTCAGTTTCAGGCCAGCCTGGGCGACTCGATAGTTTTGTAAAAAGAAATGGGCGGCAAGTAGGCAGATCTAATGTTTAAAGGCCTCATAAACTCCACCATTCCTCAGCTATCCTTGTTCATTCGCCCGCTGAGCCATTCTTTGGTTAATGCTCTATCTTGTCCTTAGTCTGGGAAGTCTTTCCCTGGCCTTACAGTAAAACCAGAAGAGCACAGGCATCAGTCAGCTCTTCCCTATTCTGTCATGTTTGCATTTGTGTGCCCCATATTTCCATATGTTGTCCTTTGAACACATACTATTACTATAATTGGAAGAAGTATAAAATATACACCTCGTAGCCAAGTCCAATAAAGAAATCATGAAAGAAAGAACTGCAGTTTCATATTATGAAATATAAAACATTAATGTTAGTAATTCAGTGAACTAAACAATTGTATATAAACAGTATTGTAATACCCTGGCAGAATAATTGAATAAAGATTGAATGACATACCTATAGGAATAAAACAGTACACTGCATGGCATATTAGTTAAAAATTTAAATTTTAGTCATTTATAATCGTAAATATATGTCAAAAGTCTTTACTTGAACTACACAGTCTTTACAGACATCTAACATGTTATTCTTTCCCACCCACCCATCCATCCATCTATCTATCTATCTATCTATCTATCTATCTATCTATCTATCTGTCTATCTATCTAATCACTGATCTTAGCCCCCCCTTCCTTTTCTCCAAGTTCCATTCTAACACTCCCTTTTCTCCCCTGCTTCCCCCTTTCCTTCTCAGAGAAAAGGAGGCCTTCAAGCGGTACCAATCCCTAGCACCTCAAGTTGCAGCAGAACCTAGTGTATCCTTTCCCACTGAGGCCTGACAAGGCAGCCCAGATAGGGAATAGGCATCCAGAGGCAGGCAACAGAGTCAGAGATAGTCCCTATTACTGTTGTTAAGAGACCCACGTGGCGACCAAGCTGCACATTTGGCTCGTATATTCAGGGGGACTAGATCCAGCCTGTACATAGTCTTTGGTTAGTAGTTCAGTCCATTTAAGCCCCATGGGCCCAATTTAGTTGACTGTGTGGGTCTTCTTGTGTTGTGCTTGACTCCTGATTCCCTCAATCCTTCCTCCCACTCTTCCCGAAAACTCCCCCAGCTTGGCATATTGTTTGGCCGTAGGTCTCAGCGTCTGTTTCCATCAGCTGCTGAATAAAGCCTCTCAGAAGACAGTTATGCTAGGCTCCTGTCTGCAGGCATAGCAGACCCACCTCAAGGGAACTAGCATGTTATTTAAGAAGCCATAATTTGTATTTTCCAAGTGATGGGCCCCGACAATGACCTTCTTACACATTGAGCTTTATAGACCCTTTTTTTCTCTCCTGCAGTATTGCCAGTCAGGGATTGCAGCCCATGGTAACCATGTCACTCAGAATCCCAATGTACATTTCTTAATTGATCCTCCATGATACAGCTCCTGGCTTTTCATCATCAGCCCTCCACTCATGTCTTACAGTGTTCATTCCAGCTCTTAGCCTTGCTGGATGCAAGGATCACTGTGTTTCTGTTCCTGCATTGCTTTATACTCTCAGTCCATTTGGGATAACTTTTAATGGCCTTTCTTTGAATAGAAAAAAAAAAACAGTTTTTTAATGAGTTGACGTTGAGCTTCCTTTGCCTTTCTTAGCTGGCGTGGTCTGCCTTACCTCCATGCTTTCCTTTGACATGGTGAATTATGAGCGTTGCTATCTTTGGTTGTCTGTTCTTTCTCCCACTCCATTGCACATCAGCTCACATGTTAGAGATGGGGTCTGCATCCCCAGTCTATCTAGCACAGGCCTGACAATAGGTCAGATGCTGTAAGAAGAGTTTAAGCAATGACTACAAATGATCCTATTATTAATGACTGCCGCGTTGTAGCTTAGTAGTGGGTCACAATTCAGGCCACTATTTTGCTACTGCTCTGACAATAGAAATCATCTCAGGAATTGTTTCACATTGGCCAGTTTGCATTGGCCATTGGAAGATCATGGCCAAGTTAGTAATTTGCCCTTCATTCTATAGAACATCTTGGCTTGCTTTGTGTTACATTTTTTTTTTCATATGACTCTCCCCTATTTTGTATTTTTTTCCCTGTGTGACAAAACAATCAACCATATATGATAATCATGTATAATTTACATAAACCTTATTTCTGCAAGTTGGTAGTATCCACTTATGCTGATATTTGTTTTATTAAATACAAAGATTTTGAAACATTCTATTTAGATAATTACTTTTTCTAAATCAAATGAAGTGAGTCTGTAAATGCTTTTTTGAAGTGAATACATAATGACCAAGTTAAGGTGGTTAGCATTTTGATGTCCTTAAATAAAATTGTGCCTACAAAATATGTACAATTATGTAACCATTTCTTTTTAGTTTAAAAAAATATTGAGGCTAGAGAGATGGGAACACTTACTTCTTTTGGAATGGACTGGAATTCTATTCCCCCTAACTCATGTTAGGCTGCCCACAATTGCTTGTAACTATAGCCCCATAGCATCTTGATACCCCCTTTGGGCCTCCATGGGCCCCACATTCATACACTCATACACACACACCAACACACATATATACATAAATAAGAATAAAATATTTTAAGAGGTATGAACATCAGGTACTCTTCTGATGCTTCTTTGGCCATGTGGTACATTTCCCTGCTTCCAGGGGTTGTACACACATTTAAAACATCTCTGAGTAGCTGACCCTGATGTTTAAGGTGTTGTTCACAGACTATTTAAGTATTTTTTCAAAAGCCAATAAATCCAAACTTACTATGTAATTAACCCTGGAAGTTTAGAGCCAGTTATAGAACAAGGTAGAGTGCTTTTGTGGCCTAATTACCTGTGGGTGACACGTCTGGCTCCATTTTACAGAAGCATTGTTTTTCTTGGCTGTTTTGAAGTACACAGTCTTTCAGAAATAACAGTGAGAGGGCAGAGGCAGGAGGATCCCTTGTGAGTTGGAGGTCAACTTGGTCTTCATAGAGCCCCATCTCAAAATGAATTAATCAGCATGGAGCAAGTGTGTTGCCCATAGATTGACAAAGCTGGATTTTCTCCTGTAGCTACTGTCTTTTCCTTATTGAATTATAAGAGTTCTTTATGTATTCTGGACAGTAGACCAAATCAAATGTAGTGCTTCAAGCATCTGAAGGCTTCTCGTTTCTCTGATGGCTCCCTTTTGACATCGTAAATGTGTATGTATTACAGGTAAACTTTCCATCTTCATATGCTAAAGTACTAATTTATCCTCTGTTTCTGAAGGGGTTTCATTGGATATCAAATACTGCACCCAGTGCAGATCACAGATGCCAAGAACTCACTCCCACTAGCTAGCTCTTCTGGTCTAAGCTCCGTTTGTGTTTGGCTGTATTTTCTCTTTGTCTTCTAGGCTCTGCCCTTCCTGTTAGTCAGATGCTTCTGTGTCATGAGGTACATGTCTCTGGTGAGGTTCTGCTTTGGCCTTTCTGGCGCTTATGGCTATACCTCTCTGATGCCTTATTTCTGGAAATGATAAGTGTTTTGGGGGAAGTTTTGAACCAGTTGTTCTTCTGAATTATTTTTCTGCGCCTTCCACTCCCTTCTTTTGGCATAACTCATTGTTCACATGCCCATACATTTGGTGCTGTCCATTATCTCTGAGTCTATATTATTTTTTCCAGCCTTTGTTCTCAATGTGTCTATTTTCAAGTTAAAGGACTTCTGTCCAGTGTTTCTGCTTTAATTATTGATTTTCAAGTCAAGCATTTACCTGGGTTCTCTATATACTGACAGTCTCCACTTATGTACTCAAGCTTTACTTGATGATAATAGTTTCTTTAGCTCCTTGACTGTGTTCAATGTGTTGGTTGAAATTCTTTGCCTTAGCAGATTCAGTGGCTCAGCTTCTTCAGAGACAATTTTTATTAACAGCTATTTTTCTCATAGAGACCATATTTTTGTATTTTTTAAAATGTCTCAAATTTCTTGTTTTAAACTAGACATAATATATTAATAATTCATCAACTCTAGGAATCATATTCTTCCAAGATCCTTTATTTGTTTTTGTTTTATGTTTAGGACTATTGAAAAATTCAGTTGTGTGTCAGGTGTTGCCATCTCAGCCTTCTCCTCTTCTTCTTCCTCCTCCTCTTCCAACCTCCCCACCCCCTTTCCCTTTCTCTTCCTTCTCCTCCGGCCTCCTTCCTGCCTGGCTTCCACTGGGATTGTGCTTGTGTGTGTTGACACTCATATCAGACACTCACCGAGCCAGTTGGCCTTCAGCTCTGCTTTAGAAGCCCATTGCCTCCCTGTGCTGGGTCTCAGGGTCATCTCTAGGCCTGTGGACTTTTCTGAGTCATGGGATGTGGCACTGAGGTAGACATGTCCCTCTAGATTCCCAGGAATATTTTGGTCTTATTAATTAACCCATTTGCCCAATATTTCTCCACAGTCTCCAGCAGCTAATATCTTAAACAGGTGGCTCTAATTATTTTCTCCAGCTAACCCCTAGGGAGTCAGCCAGTTTGTGCTAAGGAGAGTGCCAAGTCAGGTTGGATAGAGACCACTCACTGGGAAGCATTCCTAAATGGTTCCAGTTGCCTCACTGCACCCCAGTGGCTACCAGGCTATTGCTTAGGGAAAATAACACATAGCTCTGTTCTTACCAAGATTTAGCCATGGTTACTTTGTTGGTGTTCCTTTTTAAATAAATACTCTTTGACTCTCTCTAGCTCTATGGTCAGTCGTCCAGTCCTGGCAGTGGTGATCTTAGTAGTTTGCAGCATCCACTTGTTTTTTTGAGAGAATGTTGGGAGTTCCTTGCACTGGCAAGTTGGACTGAAGTCACACCTGCACCTCTCCTCACAGTGTTGTTAGACTCAGCTGGTTCTGTGCAATGACTGGAGGCAGAGTGCCCTTAGAGGATAGTCTGGCTGATTCTCTTTCTGCTGTGTTTCAGGACTATGATGATGGCTATGGCACTGCATATGATGAACAGAGCTATGACTCCTATGACAACAGCTACAGCACCCCAGCCCAGAGGTAAGAGTCACCCCATGCAGCCAGGCCTGGCATTAGCTTGACATAGGGTCCCTCCACAGCTTGCTGTTTGCTGTTGTTTCTTCTAACTAGAGAAGTGGGATCTGTGCTTCCAGATAGCTTGTGTTATTGCTCCCAAGTGCTATCATGCTAAGGCATCCAAGACATGAAAACTAAGTTTCATTTTATCGACTCTGAAAATTCGCCCTAAATGTTTACTATCATCTAAGGAAGGATGATAGCCTCAAAGTGGGCAACCATTCAGTCCTAAGGCCCCAAATTCTAGAGAAACTGAACATCCTGCCTTTCTGGAGTTTCATGCCAGAGCCTGGCTTGCTTTTCACAGAATATTGCACCTTCTTAGCAGTGATGCTCCTGCTTCCTGTCAGCTTCAGTTTCTGTAAATGTAACAACTTCTTGATCAGACCCTCCTCCCAGTAAATTGCATACAGCAAATATTGGTCCTGCAGAGACTACAAAGCCTAACCACAGATTGTGACTGTTGTGATGGAGTGTCCAAGCACAAATGTGACATGGTGCTACTCATGCTGTGAGTGAATGCATGGGTTCTCTTACCTGTAAACTCTGATGCTGGATAGGTGAGAATGTTAAACAGTTTTTGTCTTTGCTCATGACAAATGGCCTTTAGACTTTGGTTGACACATGGTCTTTTTCAGTGGATGCTTTGTTCTTTATGTTTGTATTAGTAGACGCTGGGGACTGATTCACACCTACAGTTTGTTGAAAGTGACACGCAGCAGGCTGTGTGACACTTGTACTACAGCTTCTCCTGTAGCTGTAGCCAGCACTTCCTAAAGTGTCCTACTGTAGAAAGCAAGGAGTGGGGTTCTAGAAGGAGCCATTTGTCCAAAATCACACCATAAGTGGGATGAGGAAATGGGCCTTGAGTCGGATATTCTAACTCCAGGACTACTTTTTATAACTAGGCATTTCTCTGCTTAATTTAAAAACATGAATGTGCATAAATATTTCTGTTTTCAGGATGAAGTGCTCTGGTGAAGCACATGCATCACCCACCTCATAACACTTACTGAGTGTGAGGTTTCTGTCTGACCCTGTTCTAAGGCCTATCACCCAGGCCACATGAGCACACACTGCAAGATGGATGCTGTGCCTGGACAAGAGGAGGTCGAAGAACAAAAAGTTGATAACTGTAGTCGATAGAGGGACTAGTTGCTTCTGAGCTTCACTGTACTCTTAGTGAATGCTGGCCCCACACCCATCTCGATCCAGAATCCAATGCTGTTGCATGGCTTTGCTTGAGCTGTAATGTTCTAGACAGTGTGCTGGTGTTAGTATGGCCTTTTGTAGTCTCACCTCTAGTTAGCACACACTTACCTTTATATAAGAAAAAAATCATATATTTTGATCATTCTTTCCAAACTTCTTCTAAATCCTCCTCATTGCCCCACCCACCCAACTTCATATTCTCTCTCTTTCTCATCAAACAAAAAAAGAAAGTAAAAAAACAATAAAAAATCCAGTAAGAAAAAAAACCAACCAAACAAAATGAAACATAAAGTGCACACTAAAAACCATATGGTTCATTTTATGTTGGCCAATTACTGCTGGCCATGGGGCCTGTCCTGGATTTTGTGACACTGGATTGAAGAAAATTGACTTTCCCTTTCCCATCAGCTAACAATTGAAATTAGCTTCTTTGGATCCACCTCCACTCCTTAGTGCTGCGATTTTCTCTGCTTTAAACCTGTATCTGTCTCCTGTATGCCGTCATACTGTGTGTGAGTTCATTTGTATACTCATCCTTTTCTGCCTGGAAGATACTGTTTTTGTTTTCTTGGAGTCATCAACCATCTCTGACACTTAGCCTCTTTCCATCTCCTCTAATGCATGGGAAGGGATTGATGAAGACATCTCATTTAGGAATGAGTGTTTCAATGCCTCTCATTCTCTGCATATTGTCCATTTGTGAATCTTTGTCTTAATTATCATCTAGTGCAAGAAGATTCTTTGATGATGGTTGAATGATACACCAATCTATAAATATAGCAATATGTCATTAAAAGTCATTTTATCTATGTTCCTTTAGAAGAATAATAGTGATAGGTATCTCCTAGGGCTGATGGCCTCTATAGTATCAGGATCTTGGCCACTTTACTAGTGTCAGGCATTGTTTTCATCTCATGCAGTAAGTCTATTTTTCTTTATTTTTGAGTTCATAATATAAATTACATCATCTATCTCTCCCCCTTCCTTGCTCCAACCTACCTCATATACCCTTCCTTGCCCTCTTTCATATTTATGGCCTCTTTTTTCATTAGTTGTTACATGCATATATGTACTCACACACATATTCATATATAAATACACATAGACAGATAGATAGGTTAATTAATTCCTAAATATAACTTGCTTAGTTTGTTTAATGTTACTTGTATGTTTTCAGGACTGATAATTAATATTAATAATAGCTGAGAAAGACTATTTCTCCCACTCTTGTTATTACTTAGTTGCCTGTAGTTCTTTGTATAGGGTTTAGACTTCATGGTCTCCCCTACTGCCCTTCACTTTGGTATGTCTGTTGTCTGTTAGGCTTATGTTTAGGCAGTTATGTTGGTGTGGCTGCTGACAGTTCTACGAGGTTCAGTCTCATGGTAAACTCTCTCATGCTCTGGCTCTTACAATATTTCCACCCCATCTTCTGCAGTGTCCCCTTAGATGTGGAAGTTGCTTTGTAGGTGTATCCATGGGACTGAACTTCACAACCCTGCAATTTGATTGGTTGTAGTTTTCTGTAGTGTTTCCCATCTGTTACAAAGAGAAGTTTCCCTGATAACGGGTGAGAACTACACTTACCTGTGGATATAAAGACAAATGTTTAGAGTATAGTTAGGGATTGTGTTGGTTTAGTAAGGTAGTGGTTGTAGGTTCTTCTCCACAGTCCATGACTTCACTAGCCCTGCGTAGTTTGCCAGATTTCCAGTACTAGTCTTGATTTCCTTTTTGTTGATTGGGTCTTAAGTGTGATGAGAAAACTGTTGGTTACTGCTAAGGTTTGTGTATTGCTATTGCACACTTAGGGTTAGTTATTGTACCATACTGGTTATTATTGTGGTTGGTAGATCTCATCTGGATAGCAGTATTGGTTTTGTACTTCCTCTAGAAGCTTGCTTGGCACCTTCTGGTCAGTTCCAGTTCTGGCTATTTCTAACTGGCACTAAGGTCAGTTCCAGTAGGAACTTTGGTTCCTGCAGTAGACCTTAGCCAATCCAAAAGTGGTTGGGTGTTCCTATAACATTTGTGCCACAAGTACAGCAATATATCTTTTAAGCAGGTTGCTGTTGTAGGTGACAGAGTTTGTATCTAGGTGATACTGGTGATTACTTTTTTCCCTGGTAGCATGTAAAGTCTTAGAGCATGTGATATATTTTCATTTTCTGATGTCTTCTTTAGTTTCCTCAATATCTTAAGATTTTTATTATAAAAGTCTTTTATTTGCTTGGTTAAAGTTATCCAAGGATTTTTTGTTTATTTTCATTTTTTGTTTGTTTGTTTCAAGGCTATTGGGAAAGGCACTGTTTCCCTGATTTCTTTCTTTGTCTATTTGTATTTGCACATGGGAAAATTACTTATTTTTTTGTATCAATTTTTGTGTCCTATTTTGCGAAATGTTTTTATTATCTTTAAAAGTTTACTGATAAAGTTTCTAGTGTCTTCATGTAGAACTCACTTCATGTATAAATCCACACCATCTGTAAATAAAGATACTTTGACTTTTTCTTTTCCTATTTGAATTTTTTTTTCAGTTGTCTTATTGCTCTAGCTAACATGTCAAGTCCTTCATTCAGTAGAAGTAGAGAGAATGGACATGCTTTGCTTTGTTCTTGATTGTAGTGTATGCTCACTATAAATTCCCTTTATTATGTTGAGATGTATCACTGTATCTCTAGTATCTCAAGGACTTTAATCATGAAAGGGGTGTTGGATTTTGTCATAGGCCTTTTCTCTATATAATGAGATGGCTATGTAGAAGTTATTTTTTAGTTCATTTTGGTCCATATGGTGGTCATGTATGTTGAACCATCCCTACATCTCTGGCAAGAAGTCTACTTGATCATCGTGGGTGATATTTTTTATGTGTTCTTGGATTTAGTTTGAAAGTATTTTATTGAGAATTTTGCATGTATGTTCATGAGAGAAAATGCTCTATATCTTTCTCTTTCTGTTATTTCTTTGTGTGGATTTGGTATCCATATTATAGTAGCTTTGTAAAAAGAATGAGGGACTGCTTCTACAGTTTTTATTTTTTGGAATAATTTGAGGAGTATTGGTGATTATCTTTGAAGGTCTGGTAGAATTCTGTGAATCCATCTACATAGGATTCTTTGACTTGGGAGATACTTAATGACTGCTTCTATTTTTCTAGGGGTTGTGGGCCTGTTTAAATTGTTTATTATTTTCAACTTGATTTAATATTGTTAGATGGTTTATATTAAGGAATTATTTTAGGTTTTCCAGTTTGGTAGAATTTCGATTTTTAAAATATGTCATTATGATTCTCTTAATTTCCTGAGTGTCTTTTTTAATATCTCCTTTTCATTTCTAATTTTATTTAGATATTACCTCTCTTCTTTGGTAAATTGGGCTAAGGATTTATCAATCCTATGCTTTGTTTTGTTTTGTTTTCTCAAAATATCAATACTTCATTTCATTGATTCTTTGTGGTTGTTATTTATCTGTCTTGTCTGTTTGCTTGATCTATTTCATTGATTGTCACCCCAAGTTTGAATATTTCTTCCCATCTGCTCATTTGGTTTTAATAGATACTTAATTCTAAGAACTGGTGCCTTGTTTCCCATAGATTTGGGTGTGCTATGTTTTCCTTTTCATTCAGTTCCTACAAGGTTTTAATTTTCTTCTGATTTCTGGCTTATTTTAATGCATATGTGGTAGTGAGTTGTTTAGATACCATGAGTTTATATACTTTCTACTTTTTCTTTTACTGTTCATATCTAGCTTTA